GGCATGCATTTTCCTAACTTGTAAATGTACCTCTGACAATAAAAGAGTTCATTCTTCACTCTGGACATTCCTTGCCTGAAAGCACTATGACAATACAGGGCTTCTACATTTGGGTGGAAACATTGACCAATCAGGGTTCCTGTTTGCGTGGAAGAGTCCTGTGCACTTACATCTGTATAGGACCCCCCCCTTATACAAACACAAAAGTGTGCCCAATCAGTGTGTTTGCATTGCAGGGTATGGATAGTAAAGGTAAAGGGACCCCTGACTGTTAAGTTCAGTCGCAGACAACTCTGGGGTTGAGGCATTCATCTCGCTTTACTGGCCGAGGGAGCCGGTGTTTGTCTGCAGACAGCTTCCAGGTCATGTGGCCAGCATGACTAAGCCGCTTTTGGCGAACCAGAGCGGCACATGGAAACACCGTTTACCTTCCCGCCGGAGCGGTACCTATTTATCTACTTGCACTTTGACGTGCTTTCAAACTGCTAGGTTGGCAGGAGCAGGGACCGAGCAACGGGAGCTCACCCCGTTGCGGGGATTCGAACCGCCGACCTTCTGATCAGCAAACCCTAGGCTCTGTGGTTTAGACCACAGTGCCACCTGCATCCCAGGGTATGGACGGTAGGCATGATCATATCCACCAAACTCATTCGAAGAGGTTGCCAGGCAGCACTGCTGTTTTTAATTTCTTTAAGCTTTGCCTTGAATGTCCTGGCAGAAAGGTGGTATATATATGCTGTTAACAGATAGATAAATAGAACATGTTTTAAATATAGGATGTTTATACACTCCGAAATATCACTCCTGGCTTGAGACGCCCTTCCTGAGAAATTGTGCTGGGGGTATATGGCAGAGGAGCAAGAGACTCCTAGGCTCAACATCCTGCTTCAATTCCCTTTGTTAAATGGTGTTTGGAGATAAAAGCCTGCCTGGGAGCAACATCTTCTGACCTAGAAGCTCTGCCCCTTAACCCCAAATGCAGCAGGGTTGCCTGTGGTCACCCAGTCACGAGGGAACACTGTGCAAACTCCCCCTCCCACACAATGTCAGGCTCTTCGAAAAGGGCAGCAATAGTACTAGCAGAATCGCCACACCAGCAACACACTGCTCAGGCTGAAGACCACAGACGCTTAAGGACAGGGTTTCTACATGGCAGGGATGGAGAAATTGTGGCCCTCCAGATGTTGGTGGACTGACTCCCATCAGCCCCAGCCACCACGGCCAGTAGTCAGGGATGATGTGAGTTGCAGACTGACAACATCTGGAAAACCACAGGTCCCCCATCCCTGTTGTATTGGAATTGATCCTCGAGGACCAGCTGGTCAGACGTTCAGGCAAGCTTGTGCCATACATAGTCCAGGGGTGGGTAGAAAGCAGATCTCTGACTGATTTGCAGTAGATCAACAAGGATTTTGTCTCCCAATTGTTTAGTAATACCCCTTATAATTCAGGCTGCTGAGTTTAAGAAAGCACAGGGAGAAAACCAGGAGTGGATTTTTGTGTGAAAAGATGGGGAGCTCAGTTCTGCTATGGAAAACTCAGTTCTACCTCCTTTAGGAGCTTCCAAGTGTGAAATAAATAAATCAGGCAGCATGGGCATAGCCAAGGAGGGGCGGCGGGGGGGGAGCTGCCCTCCCCCAGATCAAGTGAAACAATAGAAATACTTAACTAACTGACCAATCACGTCAGTTCTCCCCCACTCAACCAAAAGCCCTGCCCCCCCCACCCTAAGAAATATCCTAGTGATGTCAGGCAGTCCACTTGAAGCAGATGGGAGAGGTAAAAAGGCCAGTGTTTAACACAGAGGTTGTACATATGCATAAAGTAAGGAATGAAGGTGGAACGTAGCAGAAAATCCATACCGACTCTTGTTTCTAAGTATACCTAATGCAGCTGCTGCCATTAGGTTTTTTTTAAACATACAGTGGTACCTCGGGTTACAGACGCTTGAGGTTACAGACGCTTGAAGTTACAGACACCACTAACCCAGAAATAGTACCTCAGGTTAAGAACTTTGCTTCAGGATGAGAACAGAAATCGGCGGCGGCAGTGGGAGGCCCCATTAGCTAAAGTGGTACCTCAGGTTAAGAACAGTTTCAGATTCAGAACGGACCTCCAGAACGAATTAAGTTCTTAACCAGAGGTACCACTGTACATTGCAGAGGAGAAAAAGAATAAAACCTAGTAGGTATAAACAGGCAAAACTACTTTATACTGAGGCAAAACCATTGGTCCACCTTGCCCAGTACAACAAAGTCTGTCTGGCAGCAGCGGCCCAAATCCTTAGGCAGAACTTTTCCCTAATCCGCCCCTACTGTTTGACATCTTTTTTTTGCAGTGGAAATGCCAAGGATCTTACCAGGGACCTTTGGGGTGAAAAGCACATGCTCTATTTCTGAGCTAGTCTTTATTTAATGATCAGATGAGAATTCCAAACATTCAATTTTTCACTATATACTTTGTAGCTGCTAAGGTGTTATGATGTCTAACTCAGTTCTGATGAGAACTGCTGGGATATTCTGGTCCTCCAGTGCCTCTCCTGTGCAAACAGACATAAGCAATTACATTTGTTCACAGAGATCTATGCTCTCTAGTACCGGGCAGAAAAGGGAAAGGAAAGGTTGACTCTGGACTCCATCATAAAAACTACCAGCATTAGTTCTTGGAATGGCTGGCTCTGCTAAATATCTTTCCCTGTATAAGCAGGACTGCAAAGTCAGTGATCAGAGAAACAGATAAAGAGAAAGGTGTTTTTTAAAAAAATTATTTGGAATCCTCGAGGATGAAAAACAACATGAAAGAAGAGATATTTCTAGCTCCCAACTTCATGGGGATTAAGGTTGGGAGACTCGAATGCAACAACTGTTTTCTCCTTGATTTCATGAACCAAACAGATATTGAATCCACATCTGGCAGTGCCCCTGGGCAGGTCTTTTGGGCAGAAGTCCAGAGTCCCACTCAACAGCCCCCAAATGGAGCAGAGCTGGCTCAACATCCTTGAAGTAAGTGAAATAAAACACACTACTCTCTCAAGATGGGAGTTCCCAGTACAGACCATTAAGTCTAGAGCCTAAACTTGCTTTTACAAGTTTGTGGGTGCTAGACACCCTAGATTTCTGGGTCTAGATGGAGTCAGAATTTAATTAAGGCTAGCTGTTAAGTCTGGGTCCCAGGCTTATGTGCATTAAGCTAGACCCTTTGTATTAGGCTGTGTGCTGGACAATGCTAATCCCCTGGAATCAACAAGTTGAAAGGCTAACTTCCAATGAGGTGATGGCCTGGGGTAATGAGCCATAACTCCATGAGAGTTGGCAACCAGGCAGAGCCCCTTTCGCTTCACAGATAAAGTCAGAGGCGATGTGATTTAGAAGAGTTTACAGCAGGAGTGATGTAATGTCGAAGTAAAGCAGCAGGCTGGAGAGAGAGACAAGGACAATGTTGATGTCTGCTTGGATCCTAGGCTGCACCTATGGGAGAAGCAAGACGCTCTTGGAGTGCAATGTTGGGAACGCCTCCATCGTAGGCTCAGGTTGTATAATATATGTGTAAATAAGCCATATATCCTAAAGACACCACAGTCCCCACTGTGCCTCATTTTCAAAAGGAAGCACGGACCTTGTGAAAGCGCACTTGGAACCTCACACTGTGAGGCGGGGTGTAACATTATGTAACTGCACAACCAACCGGGCCTCTTGCACCTCTCCATCTGCTCACAAAGCCTCTTCCCATTTGCAATTGCTAACTCGCGCAAGTTAGCTACGCAACTTCTATATCTCCTGTTCACCCCCACTCCCAATCCTCCTGACCCCTGGATGGTTCTTTCCACTTGCCCATCTGCAACCTCTGGCTCCCCACCCCCCAACCTTCCTCCATTCTAAGCCTCCTGGCCATTCCTGACTTTATGGTTACAGATCTAGCCTGAGTCCCTCAACCCCACCCGCCTTTCCAAAATGCTTGGCTTAATCTTCTGGCTGCCTTGGAACATGCTCCTCCTGTTATAGCTGGCTCTCTCTTCTATCCACCTCCAGGTTCTTTGAGTCCTCCTGCCTGGCCTTCTTTGGAAAACCCCTCCCGCTCCTTCCTGGAAAGATGGTTATGTCAGACTATCCCTGACCAGCAGGTTGGGTAGTAGCTGTAAGAAAACCCACAAAAAAACCCTGTCCCACATCCTGCCATAGCTAGATACTCCTCCTCCCTTTGAGCACATGCTCTCCCTACATCTCCCCCCCCCCCGCCAATCTCTTGGCTAGCCAGAAACCAAGTTTTGACCCACAACTTTTAGGTCGCTTCCTATCCTGCTCCTCTGCTGTACCTCTATCCTTCCTTTTCATCCTTAATCTTCGAGGAGCCTGGCTCCTGTCTCCGCCCCCCTCCCAGCGAGAGAAGCTGCTTCTCCCTTGCTGCTGCCCCAGAGTCAACTTCCCCAGATCGCTGCGCAACAGCGGGCCACCCCTCCACCTCCCGATCTCCATCCCTCTTATCTCCCATCTCCTGGTGAACTCTCTCTGTGTGGAGGGGAACCTCGTAACACCGGAATCCTCCCTCTCGCGTCGCCCCCCGTCCGACAGGCAGCCTCTCCGTGCACCAGCTGGCGACCCCTTTCTCTGTCCTCTCCCCCCCTCCTCCTCTCTCCTGCCCCACGAGCTTCGGGGGGGGGAAGCCGATCTCCCCCAACACTTCCTGGGGTCGCCGCCCTCGGCGACATCTGGCTCTCCCGCTTCCCCCCTTCTCCGCTTCCTCGGCGGGCAAAGCAACCCAAGATCGCCTCTCGGAAGCATCTGGTCGCCCTCTAACACCCCCACCCCTCTTTTCTCTCCTCCTCGCCTAGCCAAGCGCCGTCCATTGCCTGTCTCGTCTTCCCTCCTCCCGCTGGTCACGCCGCCGGCCCCGCTGACTCGCTCCCGCCGCAGGGGGCACCGCTCGCCTCCGCCTCCCTCCCTCCCTCCCTCCCTCCTCTCTCTCTCTGCGCGCCCTCGAGCGCGCCACGCAGCCGGAGAGGCCGGGCGCTGCGCAGGGGATGGTGCTGCGGGGCGGCGGCGGCGGAGGTGCCCGGCGCCTTCTGCTGCTGGCGCTGTGGCCGCCGCCGACGTCGCCCAGCGTGCTGCGCCTCTGGCTGCTGCTGCTGGGGCTGCTGCTGCTGGCGGCGCTCGGGCATGCGTGGACCTACCGCGAGGAGCCCGAGGAGAGCGACAGGTGGGTGGGGCGGCGGCGGTGCGGGGTGTGAGGGAAGGGCCCGTCCCGCGTCTCCTCAGCTTGCCGCCTTTCCCGCGCCTCCGCGACGGCCAGGCAAGCCGGAGCTGCCCCCGGAGGAGACGTGAAGGGAACTGGACTTTGGACGTCTCTCAGGCGACGGTTTAAGCGCGCTCTCTCTCTTTCTCCCCCTCGCAGGGAGGTCTGCTCCGAGAGCAAAGTGGCCACCACCAAGTACCCGTGCCTGAAGCCCAGCGGGGAGCTCGCCACCTGCTTCAGGTCAGTCCGCGCCGCCGGTCGCCCGCCTCCTGCCGCCACAGGAACGCCGCGAGGGCGGAGCGAGCGGGGCTGCGCGCGCGTTTGCGCGGGGGTACCTGAGGCGCTGAGGAGAAAAACGGAGTGGGGGGTTCGAGGGCAGAGGCTAGTTGAAGGACCCCCCACCCCAATATATCCTCTCTCTCTCACACATATATATCTCACACAGGCACCATACTTCTCTTTTTGTTTATTTAAATTTTTATTATTAAAATAATTCAGCATTAATACACACAATGTTACGAATATACAAACATACATTTCATACAATCCTTAGAAATGTTCATACTTACCCACACTCAATCCCACAGATAGTTTTCCCATCACCACCCCTCACCCCACCATTGTGTTAGACTTCCAATCTACTCAATTGCAATTTATTTCCACTTCTATTACTTTCTTTCACACCCCTTTAACCCAATTGTCTGCTGCTTTTTCTATTACACATTGTTATCCATCTTATTTAGTATTTCAGTATCTAAAACGGAACTTGTTTATTCTAATAGTTCTGATTTTTCAGGCACCATACTTCTCATTTGTGTGTGTGTGCATAATATTATCTATATAATATATCTATCTGTTAGAGTTGCCATATTTCAAAAAGTAAAAACCAGGACACCGCTGGTTTTCAAGGAAACCACCGAAATTATTGAGCTTTTTTGAGGAAACGCTCCAAAGTCATTGAGGTGGGTTTTTTTTACACAAATGCTAAAGACTTTTTCGATTGACTCGCCTAAGATCCAGGACAAAGCACCACCTTTCAGAAATCCCCACCCCATGTCAATTCCGCCTTTGAAATCCCGGTAATGTCCGGACTTATGGCATCCCTAATATAGATATAATGGGAATTCCTGGACATTTCTGGGATTTGTCTGTCGGAAATACTGGGAAACATGTCTGGAAATCGGTAAAAATGTCTGGGGAAACCCAGGCATATGGCAACCCATGTTGGAAGTGTTGATTTTGGGGGGCAAATTTCCTTAAAAATAGCTCAGAAACTTCAAATTTGCCCCCCCCCCCCGAAAAACTCAGCAACTTTGCCAAAGAAAAAGCTCAACTTATGTGTCTGGGTTTTCACATTTTGAAATCTGGCAACCCTAATCTATGTATCACACAGGAACCGTGCTTCTTCTTCCACCACGTGTCTGAGTACCAGAGGCTTGGGACTATCCCTTGTTTTATTTATATCTTCATTAAAAAGCATTTATTTTTATTGTTTTATTTGTAGACCACTTAATCACAGGCATCTCTGTGTGTGTTGTGCAATGAAATCAATAGTACAATGAGGTTAAAGGTTAAACTACACAACCAGAATTCAGTTAAAATGCCTGCTGAGGGCGGGCATGAAATTAATATATTCCTGCTGAAATCAATAGATTAATATGATCGCTTAGTATTAACAAAAGAAGAGAAGTGTCAAGTGGTATGCAAGGATAACACTAAAATAAATAAAACAGTGAAATAAAAACAGTAAAACAGAGAAGAATAGGGGATCAGAAATAGCAGAGTTCGATCTTCTGGGTTAGGGAAAGCCTGGGCAAAAAGACAGATCTTCACAAGATGCCTTGTGAACAGAGGCACCTGGGAGACCATGGTGTTTAAAAGCACACCCCTGAGCTTGTGCAGAGTGTTATTTTCCTTTCTGCACCACTGCCCAGAGAAAGGGAAAGGTGCACACACACACACACACACAGAGAGAGAGAGAGAGAGAGAGAGAGAGAGAGAGAGGACACGCAGGTGAACAGGTAGCAACAGGAAGAAGTAGCAGCAGCAGAACTTGATGGGTCTCAAGGTTTGACAGGAGGCCCCTTCTGGGCTGTGGGCCTTGGCAGGCACCTGGGGTGCCAAACCCTGGTATGGTACCCTGGTCTGAGACCCCCCCGTCCCATTGTTTGCCAGATGTCTATCACCTGACACCATAAGGACATCATGTGGTTGACAGGTGCATTGTTCTGCTGACTTGTCAAAGTGGGGCCACAGGGTATGTGTGCGTGTTTAGGAATCTGTCCTGCCAGGTGGATCCAGTTCCCTACCCCTGAGCTGCCAGCAAGTTCTGTTTCCTCAGCCACTGACGCTTCTGTACATCTCCCTTGCTTGTGGGTTGGCTGCTCTTTCTCTCTCTATGTGAGATAGCATCTCAGGGCAGGGCTCTGCACCCCGAGACTTCCAGTTGCTCAGCTGTATTATAAAATGTGAAGGGAGCCTTTGCAATTACATTGGGGGGGGGCACTTGGAAGAGTTGAGAGTCAAGGAACAAACCTTGATTGCCTCTGGATCCCTGACATTTGTCTGGTGCGTGTTTACATACACAAGTTTCCACACTTTAAGCCAGTGTTTACAGCTTCAAATCTGGAGTATATCCCAGAACTACTCTGCTTAGAAATTAATAATTGGACCTAGTATAAGCTCAGTAACAAACAATATACCAGGCAATTTTATATAAGGGGGTTGTTATTTATGGCTTAAATTCCTGCATACGTTTACTGTGATGCTGCAATGGTGCCTTATTTGATTCTGCAAGTGCAGGCATACAATGCTAACAAGCCTGTTTGCAATACTTTAAATGGTGCTTGTGTGCATAGGCATGAAGGCCGGTCTTCAGTGGTGTGCTGTGAGCATCTGACCACATGTATTTGAGCATGCAACCATAGACAACAATTTGTAATGCCCTCACATGCATAGGGGAAATGTTTCTGTAAAGATGGGCAGGGAGACTGCTCTCTTCTCCCCCTGGTTTTTAAACCACATTGTTTATTATTTCTGGTTACAACAGGAGCACAAAAAACCCGGGTGCTACAGAGTAACACATTAAGTAAATAATTAAATAGGTTTGTGAAGTAAGCATGCATACTAGAGGTATACATCCCCTTTCTAAGATTAAATAAGGAGGGCGGCTGTTTGTCCTGTTTTGATAATGCTGATATAAAGAATCATATCATGTTGCTGTACGCTCCCTTCTTTCTTTTTTTACCCTTTATCCTTAAATATAAGCAAGATTAGGTCTTTGGAGTTTGTTGAATCTTGCAAGCTGCTCTACTGAAGTTTCTGTGCTCTGGTACTGAAATGGTGTTCTTGCAGTAGAAAATGCCTCTGGGATTTCACCCTGAGTGTTTACACAACCCCAGTGCCATTGCTGATACAGGAACCCTTTGGTATCTCTAAGAAATAGTGATGGCTTGTACTGCGGACCTAAACAAACTTATTTGGAAGGAAGGTTGCACTCCTAATATTATTCACCAGGATGCAAGCCCCATTGAAATCACTGTGATTTATTTCTGTCTAGACATGATTAGGATCTGGCTGCAAGTCTCACTGATTTCCATGAACTTATTTCTCTGAAAGCTCTTCACACATTTCAATATTTTTTTTAGTGTGCACCTAAAATGTAAACTCTGAATGCAATAATGATGTGTTTGCAAATGCGTATAATAAGCGTAACTAAGGAATCAAGATTTTCTGCAACTCTCAGCAAATTTTGGTTTACCCTGCATGGTGTGCAAGATACATGTAGATGTGCTGAGGACCACAGTTTTAGAGTATGTTCATCATTAAAGGTTAGTGCTGGTTTATTGCTCTGATGACCTGCCGTGGTTTGACACTGAAAAACCAGCTGTAGTAGTTTATGGTTTTCCCCCCTGGGATAGAAAGGAATTACTTCTTCCTTCCTGGGCAGAAATGGGTTGGCAGAATAGCCTTTTCAAATGGTCTGTCACTACTCAGTCGGTGCAAGGAGATACGGGCTAACCATTACTTTCTTTCTCAGCCTTTGGCGCAAAACACAGAGAAACCTCTACACTGTCTACAGCAACGCTTAGGCAAATGTTACAGAAGCGAAGCAGTTACAATGCTGAATATAATTTGGGAGTGCATTACAATCACTGTGTGGAAAAACTGAATGTGCCCTGAGCGATTGAAAGATAAATGATCTTGCCTTTTAGTATTGGAGAAATATATATGGTGCAGTAGTTTATGGCGCTTAGTGCATATGCAGGTAACATTCTGTAACTCACCTGTCACCTGCACTTGTTTGGCTGATGCATGTGGCGCTCCCTGACTCAGAAACTAGAGGTGTAATGACCATACTGGGTTGTAAAGAACTGTGCAGTTCTGAAGTTCAACATGCAAGAAGATTTAATGAACTGTGTGACAATGGATGCATAGTTTATAAGCGACTTCTCTGGTTGGGCAGTCTTGCTTTCTTGTGGGAAAGGCTACTTCAATTTATTTGGCAGGGGTGCTGTTAGATTTCCAGTGCCTTGGAACATTGACACATTTTAATCATTTTAAATATATTTTAATAATTTTAATAACACATTTTAATAATAAAAAGCAAAGGTGTTAAGGAGTGAAAACACATAGCAATGCCGGCTAATGATTTATTCACAAGTCCCATTATTACAGGGTTGTGGAGCCTGTGGACCCTCCGGATGTTGCTGAACTACAAAATCCATAATTGCGTATCATTGATGCTGTTGGTTGAGGAAGATGGGAGTTGTAGTCCAGCAAGGCCAGGGACTGGCTGGACACTGAGGAGTGGTGGCTGGATACTGATGAGTGGGCACTGGGAGAAGGTGGATTGGAGACCCACTTGGAAGAAGGGGTCAGTGAACTGTGGGAGCCTATAACAGCCAGGAGACGAGAGTCAGAGGCATGAGAAGCTGCAGGATTGGAGGGTAAAGAACAGGTGCGGGAGGAGGGAGAGAGAGGTCAGGTTGGTGGAGACTCAAGGGCTTGTACATCTCCTCCTCCTGCCCCCACCTCTCCTGCTCTGCTGTCTCCCTGGTCCAAAAGAGGGCTGAAGTGGAGGAGCAGAAGGCTATACGCAGGTGTAGTCTTCACCTGCTTATGTGCAGCTCAGGCGTGGGAGATACCTAAGCCAAGGTCAGGGGTGGGGCCTTTCTGTTGTGGCAACTGCCTCATTAGGTGCCCACCTAGGAGTATCCGAGAGATGATGAACTGATGGA